GCACAAAAATTACGTCATTTGGAAAATCTCCCTTCGGAATATTCTTTCATTTAAAAATTATCATCGGCTTTATCTCGTCATCATTTGTGACACAAGCTAACACACATGTAAATGACTTTCTTTCATGCCCCGTCGTAAGCACAGATACAGTTCTTGCAAAAGTTTCATCAACAGTTCTGTTTGCAGGAAAGTTGAAAGCTAACGACGTTTCATCCATATTTATTATCTGTGACCGAAGAAGTTTTTTTTTTTTTTTTTTTTTTGTCAATATCTGTCGCATATTTTAGAAAAGATGCCTTTTTATTCTGGCAGTCCATTGGTAATTGTTGCCCGACTGTTGTTCTAGTACGCACAGAAATATTGTTTCTTTTCATAAATCTGCTACACCAGCTAGGCCCTCCTTTGAAATAATTTACGTTTATTTGATTTGCTATAAATTTTGCTTGTAAGCGAATTTTTACAGATGAAATTGCCATTCCCTTTTCTCACTGCTCCTTTCACATCTTTTGGCTCGTTTCTGTTGTAGCATATTTTTAAGTTCTTTTTCAGTTCTCCAACGTCAAATGGGAATAAAGTAACAAATGTATTGGTTGAGTCCTAGCAGAGCCCACACCCTTGGCGCACCCACATATATGGCGCATATCAATGTGTAAATGGACAAAGTCAAGGGAGTGTGCAATGCCAAGTTTGTGCAATTTTTTACTTGTTATTTTCAAGTTAGCGATTTTGAGAAACGGGCGAAGCAGTGGGTGATTCTGCACTTTCCCATTTTTTCGTCAATGGTGTGAGCTCTCCTAGGACTCTACCAATTTAATTCTACATCCCTGGAACTCACTTTTTTTCTTCAAAAAGCAAATAAAAAATACAGCAATAACAATCAATTTATATCTTTAGTCACAAAAATAAAAAAAAGGCAGCATAACCATAATCGATCTGGATTACATCAAACAAAAACACAGATGTTATCAGCATGTTGTAATGTTATGCTTCTCCATAAGTGGCACTAAATCACACTGCTTGGTGACAATTTTCCATGACTGGCATAATATGAAAGACACAGAAAAAAAAAAAAAAAACTGCTTATAGTTTGGATATTAGATCATTCCAGATTTCATACTGAACTACAATGTTGATGTTCAATGGTTACAGGTCTAATCACTTGATTTTTTCATTTCTCTCCACATTCTCAGCTAGACTAAAGAACAATTTTTTTTTTTTTTTTTTTTTTTTCTATATTAGTAGTTGACTTTTAATTATGACAAACTAATAGTGTAACTGTTGTGATTGACCGCTTATTGTCCACTTGAAAGATCAAAATGAAAAAAAATTAGGATTTTCATTGAATAAATGGCCTAAAGTTATAATTAATAAATTAAAAATGAATATTTAAAGAAATAAATGAAATAACATCATAAATGAGAAAACAGATACGGCAATATGAGATTTATACATGTATGCAATGAATTTATTATGGTAATTAAAGGAATGTTCATACATGTGTATCTCATGTACTCATAGAAGAGTATATTAAAACTAGTTTGGTCCTGGAGTGGAAAACTTAAATCTGTTCTTTAAATGTGGAAAACTTGGTGGGTTCTGGTGTAATTATGGTGATAATCAGAGGCTTTGGATAAAAGAAATAGATAAACAAAGAATAGACATCTAAAAATGAGTGCTGGAAATCAGACTGAAAAAAAAAGAGAAGTTATTTGAATTAAATGTATCAGTTGATCTTTACATTACGGTAACTTGGCGATTTTTTGGCGAAAATTTGACGACCAACTCCCCTACAGCAACCCTCTATTTTTTTTTCCCCCGCCGCCATTTTGTCTTCACGAAGTAAAGACATGTTTCTTTTCTTCTTATCTACTGAACACTTCTTCCAACAATCTACTAGCCGAATTACACTTATACTAGAAATTTTATCAAACAAAACTGCTTAATCATGACAAATGTTCACTGCAAAATTCGGAAAAAGTGCACAATACCATACACCTTACGCGTTTTTCAAAATAACACATACACATAAACCATGTACATGCCGACTTATTTTTACTTAAAAAAACATCCCAGAATTGCACAAAAATGGCATTGCGCACACTCTTCACTATATCCATGTACACTGCTTTTTTCTCATAAATTCGAAAAATTTCACGAAAATACATGACAATTTTCTCAATCTTTAAACCCGGTAAAAAGAACATATATGAAATTACCTGATCGCGAAAAAGTATTTACCCTTTACAAATATGAACATTTCCACATATAAAATATCCAAAAACTTTTACCTCTAAATCATCTATTACATTATACACGTCACCAACGAATTCATACATGAAGCATTACAAATATTTAGTATCAAATATTTAAATTATTTCCATGCACGTTTATTTCAACTTAAACGTAAACCAAATTCCTACAAGCATAAAATTCACAAAATAACTATCATTTCATTAAAATATCACTGAACCATGTACACGTCGACTTATTTTACTTAAAAAACATCCCAGAATTGCACACAAAAATGGCATTGCACACACTCTTAACTATATCCATGTACACTGCTTTTATCTCATAAATTAAAAAAAATTTCACGAAAATACATGACATTTTCTCAATCTTTAAACCCGGTAAAAGAACATATATGAAATTACATGATCGCGAAAAAGTATTTACCCTTTACAAATATGAACATTTCCACATATAAAATAAATAAATATCCAAAAACTTTTACCTCTAAATCATCTATATTACATTATACACGTCACCAACGAATTCATACATGAAGCATTACAAATATTTATTATCAAATATTTAAATTATTTCCATGCACATTTATTTCAACTTAAACACACCAAATTCCTACAAGTATAAAATTCACAAAATAACTATCATTTCATTAAAATATAATTAAATTCAAAAACACCATTTAAAATATACATGAGCACATACATTCAATTAATAAAAAATTACCTTACAATCCTAATTACTTTAAACTAAATCATTGCTAATAACAATTTTCCCAATAATACCAAATTCCTTTCCACCTTACATTTCCAACAATGCATAAAATAATAATTAAAAATACTAACTTACCTAATCTCCTTCAGAATCTTCATTACGTGGCGGATACACTTTTCTTCATTCTCTTTCAGAATCTTTAAAATCATACTTATCTTTCAAAGCAAGATACCACGTAAAATAAATAACATAATAAAACATGTTTATTTCTCTCTCACACAACCTTAAAAAACATTTCTTACTATCCTTTTCAATACCACTAAATACCCATTTCGAATTCACTTTACTTACGGCCATGGGATCCAAAAATTCATAAACACTATTTCACACAACACAGAATAAAGCCAAATACAAAATTCCCAGATTTTTTCCCATTAAAGAACAGTAATTCGTCCATTAAAATCACATGACATATCCCATGATCTCTTCCGATTAAAGAACCGTAATTCGTCCATTAATATCACATGACATATCCCATGATCTCTCATTTCCCCCACACAAAATAATGCGTAATCGGAACTCAGTACTGCTCACATTATTACCAAAGTCCCAGGTAGTAACCTTTATCGTCTCCAAAATGTCGCCAAACTACCAGTTACCGTAATGTAAAGATCAACCAATGTATCTTCCAGTATGTTAAAGGGATAAGAATACATCTGCTGTAAAAGTTAAATATCACAAAATATTCACAGAAATGTGTCTAAATAACGTTAACAGAAAAAAAAAAAAAAAAGTAATAACAGTAATACCTCAGATGGTTCCAAATTTAATCAAAAATAATACCTTCGTTTACACTTTTCAGAACATTTGGAAATCACTTAGGTGAACTAACTAAGTATGTAATGCAAGCACCAGGATACAGTCTGATCATGTGTGTGTCAATGCAGATAAATGATACCAATTTATGGCCAGCATGAAGAATTTTAAATGATGGTGATTACTTTATGACTAATAATTCAATAATTATCCAAAATAACTTTTGATGAATTTTAAAAGATTAAAATTAATTATTATTACAGTGAGAGCAATACTACAATGTGCAGTGTGTAAACACTAATGAAAGGAAACAAGGGGAATGCTAGAAGAATGGGTGCTACTTCCAAACAAGTTTATTTATGAGATAACCAGCTTTGTACTGTTATCGACAATTTTTGTGATATTTACATTTACCAAATTCTTTTATTTAATTTACCTATTATATTTTAAAATAATATATATTACAATAAAGCATTAAAATTTTACTATTAAAAAGTTAATAAGTATTTTATATACTACTCACTAAATAAGAGATCTGTAAAATATTGGAGCTCGTTATATATATATATATATATATATATATATACCAGAATTTCTGCATATATCTGCTTTTGTGATTAGAAGAAATAATACATAAACAGAAATTTAAGACATTTAAATGATTACCAAAAATTTGGCATAGAAACTTTATGTAATGTTTTCCTTGTAACTTTTCTAAAGTTCCAAACTTCAACTTAACTTAAAAATGTATCTGTATTGAAATTAATGAAAGTATCTGCACCTGACCCTCAGCAACTTATTCTTTCTTAATTACTTCTTCATACACAAAAATGGTATTTCAAAATTAAATGATTAATTTTCAAGCTTAAAAATGTCATGAACCACCAAAATTGTATTAATTTGCTTCATCCATACATGAATTTACCATACTTCAAATTAATAAGTTACAAATACAGCTCCTGCATAAAAATTTATGAACTTCCATGAATAACCACAGATATGTAAAATAATTTAAAGCATATATATAATACAACATTTTATAAAGTTTAGGTATTATATTGATAATAATTCTTATTCTGCTATTTTCAAAATGCACTTCTTCATAATCAAGAATAACTAGAGCTAATTATCTTTTACTTCTTAGAGTTACTATGACGTTCCAACACGTCATCTTATTTAATACACTTATAAAAAAAAATTCTTAAAGAAGCTAAGTCCATTACCTGAAGTATAATATGGAAACTTTGCCATCCAGTCAGATACACCATTTTTAATGTCCCACGTTTTATCTTCATAATCATGTCCTTTATCTACAGTTCTTGCAATAAACTTGCCTTTAGTTTCTTCATTAATTTTGTGTTGAGTTTCTCCATTATTACTTATTTTACTCTTCGAAATTCTTTGTATTTTTCCTCTACTATTCCCTTCGCGTATCTTCCTCCGCATCTTGATTTTAAAAATAAGCCAAGAATTTTCGAAAAAGTTCACATCAAAAATTCATTACTCGGAGCGACAAAATAATCTAAGCTCTTATGCTTATGCTTTACGTTCACTACAGGCATCAAAGGCATAAACCTGACAGACAGACAAAATAGACAGACGTCTTGTTTTGCATAAGTCTTTTGGCCCCGGTTTGCGAAAAATCAAGCTAGGTGCGAAGGAAAGAGGACAATTTTGTATTTCAGAGGAGAGTAAAAAGGAACTTCGTACATTTTGTACGAGTTCGAAAGGTCAGGCAGAAAATACGGGACAAAATAAAATTTCAAATAAATGACCCAAATATTAATAGAGGGGGGGGAAGGGGGCCTATAGAAAGAAAAGGAAAAGAAGTAGAAAATGTCCTAAAATACGTTTGTGTCCATGAGTGTAGTAAAAAAGACAAGAAGTTGTCTTCATTTACAATAAATAGTGACTCACAGGTGTGTGTGTAGTGAGTGTGTTTGGTTATGCTGAAAAGATGTGATACTGGGGGAAAAAATTGACAGTGTTAAAATGCTTCGTATCAAGGTATTTAGCATGGAATAAAAAGTAATGTATGCTTGCATCCTGAGACGCAACACCAAAAGACCCATAACATCAGACAAAAGTATATATTAATTTAACTAAACTAATGCTATTTTCGTTCAAAACATTT